TGTAGCTCTTAATAAGTTTTGTTTGTATTTTCTCCCAAACCCTGTTCTACCATCCATTCACTCAAGTCCATCAAGTATGTTTTGTTCTGCTTTCCTCTGTCCCTCTTTCTCTCAGTCTGTCTTGTGAGTATCAGGTTTTCGAAGCCCTCCTTCCTCATTACGTGCTCCAGAAATTTCTACTGCCTCTTCCTGATGTTTAATATGTTTCCTTTTTATTTCCATTTTCTCCAAATACTCGCCGTTGATCACATGTTCGCTCCATGGTATTCTCATCATCTTTCTGTAGAGCCACATTTCTGTTGCTTAGTCTCTTCTTCATCTTTGAGGAGATTGTCCAGCCTTCGCTGCCATACTGGAAAACAGGTATCACGTAACAGTTCAGTGTTCTTTTGTTTGTTTCTAACGAAATGTTCTGTCTCTTAATACTCTGCTTAGCTTTTGGAAGGCATCTTTGCCCATCCCAATGCGTCTTCGGATCTCAATGTCGCAATTTACGTCCTCTATTAGTACACTTCTCAGATATTTAAATTTCTGTACTTGTTTGATTTAGCATCCCCGATTTGTAATTTACATTCTGCCCTCATCCTTTTGCTGATAATAATGCATTCTTTTTTCATATAGTTTATACTTAGTCCTTTCTTCGCGCTTTCCTTCGCTACTTTCTGTAGGAGAAATTTTAAATAATTTTTTTTTAATTCCTTTATTCAGCCAAGGTGGTGTGAGATAGTTCTGGCCAATGACGAATCATTGCAGAATTTCATTTTTACTATAGAGGCCCTAGTCTTATCAAATCAAAGATTGTTATGAAAGTTCTTGAAAAAAATAGCTGAGTAGTTTCCAAGTATTTGAAATTATAGTTGTCTTTCTTCTAGACTGGTTGTCAACCAAGGCTAGATATTAAGTTCTAGGCAAAATAAATAATGAATATCAATTTAACTTTTTGATTAACTTAAGTGATAGATTCATATTTTTTCGTAAGGAGATTATTGATTATAATCCAATGATTTCCTTTTTTAATGCTTTCCAACCAAGGCTAGGAAGCCCAGTCTGCCTTACCATTTTACTTATAACTGGACAGCGAAAGAGACGGATAAGAAGTTTTAATAAGGGCAATGGAATTTGAATTAATCCTCAATCAAACCCGTAAATAAAACATTAATAAAAAGACGTTAATTTAAAAACCTGACTTCGTATTTAGGACAAATTTCGGAAACGGTGTCACAACAGTTTTTTTTTCTGTTTGATTTCTTACGCACGTTTCTTCACTTTAATTTTCACTGCTTCCTGTCACACATTAAATATGGCAGTCAACAGAATTTGAGTTTTTTTTTTAAAAGAATATCGCTAAGGATAATGCTTGATTTCATTCATTTTTATTTTATATATATATATATATATATATATATATATATATATATATATATTTATTTATTTAAAATATGATTCCAAAAAATTGACATAAGTTTGTCTCATGTTTCTTCAAATTGCCAAAAAGCTTTGAAAATTATCTAAAGATAGAATTGAGTTTATTTTAACTCAATTTAATTTAAATAATTATTTTGAAGTTTTTGGCTCTTGTTTTGAAACATGAGACTTCTTATGTCGCGTTTTGGAATCATATTTTTAAATAAATTATATTTATGCTCTACTTCTGTATCGAGCACTATTTAAAAAAAAATAATAACTAAAATACTAAGGGACTTTGGATTATTTACCTAACCAGTTCCTTCTTAATTTCTATATATTTTCACACACACATATATATATATATCCTCTGCAAGTTTTCGGATTTGTTGCAGATTCAGATTTCCTTGATTGTAAACTTCTTCAAAGGAAAAATAGGATCTTCCTGCCTTTTTCTTTGAGTGTCTCGGTTAAGCGTTGTGACTATGGTGGTTCTTAGATGCCATTTAAACATTTTGAAGTCAATCTTTTCAAAGTAAAACTCCATAGCTGGGCATTCTGGATCCATGTACAGATTTTATATGCAAATTAAATTTTTATGTCATGGGGTGCGTTTTTGTAGGTCCCCTGAGAGTATGCGGTATTATGGTATATTTCCCCCTTTTTTAGGCCTTGTTCCTCACTTGTAATTTATACACAATAATCTTGACAACAGAAATATTTCACTTTCATTTTTGTCTTATTAAAGTCGGAAGACGAAAGGCGTTGGCAAAAAACCAAGATTTTTTCCAATTGCCATCCTTATACGACATTTATAAATGTTTCGAATTGGACACCTCGACGTGGTGTAATGGTTAGCAAGCTTGTCTCGCTAGAACAATTACGACTGATTAGTGAATTCGATCCTCACTGGGTGCTCCATACTTTCGGCCTTGTGCCACATCTAAGCTACGCTTGGAAAATCACTATAAATGTTTCGAATTGTCATCAGTGGTGCATTTACTATGAAACTAATGGAGCTTAACCTTCAAGGCCTCAGATCCCAGATGGACCCTAAATCAATTTATTTTAATGAGTGAAGTTTTCAACACAAGCGATGATTTCTTAAAGTGTTATTAAAAGAAAGCCATTTCTGTGATAGAATCATAATCCAATGGGTTGAATTAGCTAATGTTGACTTTAGAATATGCGCTAATATCCATTTTATATGGTCTCAAAATCTCCCTGTAAATTATCTTTGGGGTTTGTGGCATCTGAATCCCAATCTGTGTAGACTCTGTGAGCTTCTCAGAATTTATTCATAGCCTACCGTTTTTTTTAGTTGGATCCTCGAATCTGATGTTGCTGGTTGCGAAAGAACACTGTCCGATATCTGTTCAAGCTATAGGACACCAAAGATTTAGGGTCGCTACTGATTGTCATCGTAACTAATAAGCGATGAAGAAAGATACAAAAGTAAGTGGAAAGAGAAAGAGTTTGCATAGAATTATGGGTTGCAGGTACTTTTTAAGTCAGAAAGGGGGAGCCGGGAGAAAGAGAGAACGAGCTTAAGAATAGAATTTTTATATAACTTCATGAAAATAGCAGGTCATCTTGTTCAAACGTTAGGTGAAGAACAAGACGAAAAGAAAGTGAGAGAGCGTTAGAATGAAGGATAGGAGAAAAGGTCAAGGGAACACCAGCAAGTTTTATCTTTTAAATCGTATTTTGCAACTCCTAGTTGCGCAAATAAAATGAGAAAGTAAAAACGACAACTTCAAAGCCTGATTTCTTTCTGTGGCGACAATAAGTTCACTTCTGAGTTACTTGTGGCTTACTAAATAAAGCTTAATAAATTGACGTTTGTTTTGCACTGCGGAATTGTTTAAACTCATAGAAATAAATTTCGCCGAAATTCTGATTTTTAATCTTAACTTCAAAGATTTGAAAATTGACAAAATAAACTTTATATTAAAATGAATTAAACAAGAAGAGCATAAAATAAGCTTTAAAACGATACAAAATCTTACTCTGCTTGCGTGGGTATCTTAATAATAAAACCTTCATTAATTTCTGAAAAACTAATATAAGAACCACGCAAAGAAACACCAGAGATCTGAATCAAATTAAATGTCGGTAAAAAAAATGTTTGTTCAGAAAGTTGGTCTCTAGTGACGCCGACATGTACTGACCACCTCCGAAGACATATCGAAATAATAGGCCTTATACTCCCTGTCACACAAGAGCATAAAAAAAAACAGTTGAATCAGAAGGTTGATCTAGAAGTTGATACCCTATCCACTAGGTGCACAATCGGGCCTCAAACGATGTAAATGGCTGCTCCCGACATATAAGCATGAAGTTGACTCAGCTGAGGTTAGGATATGCGTGCGCAGGACAGCCAGATAACAGGAAGTTATACAGACATTCCACCTAAGAGGGAAAAACCAGTCTCTCACATGCTCGCGAGAAGATCGAACGTTTCAATAAAATCCCTGAAACCATATACCCTCGTGATCGACGTTAATTTGATGGAGTTCTTACATATGGGCTTAAACAGAATTTTTGTTTGTAAAATGATTCCAATTTGAATTATTTCTTACTCCTTCCGATCGAAAATTTTCAGAAATATTTTACTACTTTTATATGAAAGAATTAAAGAGAATCTACATTTTGTGCGTTTTTTCCAGACAAAATAAGCTTGTCATGGGTGAGATACGCAGAGGATACAGTGTCAATGGCATACACAGAAAGAAACCTGTAAGATCTCTTTGACAACGTAGGAAAGGAAAACGGGGAGGAAGGACTAATCATCGATTGTAAGAAGACAGAATGTATGTTTGTAAGCAAGACTAGCTACAAATTAGAGTTGTCAAAATCAAACGAATACAGAAGTGTTTTAAAATATGATGGAAAATATGACACCAAAATCCGAAGTACGCATTAGGAAAGCGAAATATGTCTTTCAAGAACTAAGCAAAGTATTAAGAATCAGGAAAAATTCGTTAGAAACAAATCAAAGGACGCTGAATTGCTATGTAATATTAATTCACTTATATATGGCAGTGAATGCTGGACGATTTCCTCATAGACGATTCGGAAGAATGAGGTAAGAAGCATTTAGTTATAAGGTACTGAGAGTGCCATGTTTAGAGCATTTTAGCAATGAGTAGGATTTAAAAAAATAGGAAGGAAAAAGACACTTAAATTTGAATAAGAAAGAGACAGTTGAAATTTCTAGGCTGCATAATGAGGTGGGAAGGTTTGGAAAATAAGACGCAAGACTTAGAGAAGGGAAGTAACTTATAAGCTTGAATGACAGAACAGTGACTGGGAGAGAAAGCAAAAGGACAGAATTAACCAAGTGTTACATTGAAGGTGATACTGCGTAGAACCACGCCCAGAAGGGACATTAGAAATTCTTCTGATGTATATATTCAATTCGGACAGCAAAGATGCATTTAGGTTCAGTAAATTCAGATTGAGAGTTAATTTTAGTTTCGACCTTGGAAACTTTTAGATGTTTTCGTCGCCATCTTTATTTTATTCGATTATTTATTTGCTCTACGGTCTTTTTGTACATGGTTTTTTTTTTCGTCTCTGTTTCTTAAATGTTGTTAGAGAAAAAGGCATGAATGAATGTAAGATGTTTCAGAGGTCGAGATAATTGACGAAGGGTGATGGGAAAGAAAATGAAAGAAAACCAGGGGAAAAGTAGATACAAAGGAAAGAGAGAGAGAGAGAAAGAGAGAGAGAGAGAGAGAGAGAGAGAGAGAAAGAGAGCAAGATAAAAAGAATAGAGAGAAAAGAGAGAAAAAAGAATGAAAGAATGAAACAGAAAAAAAACAGAGCGAGGGAGATGGAACAGAGAGAAAAGAGAGAGGGGGATGAAAACAATGAAACAAAGAGAAAAGTGAGAGCGAGGGGAGATTGAAACAGAGAAAAAAGAGAGATGGGGATAGAAATAATGAAACAGAGAAAAAAAAGAGAGCGATATAGAAAGAATTAAAAAGAGAGAAAAGAGAGAGCGAGGAGATGGAAACAGAGAGAAAAGAGAGCGCGAATGATGGAAATAAGAGAAAAGAAAGAGCGAGGGGAGATGGAAACAGAGAGAAAAGAGAGAGCTAGTGAAGATGGAAACAGAGAGAAAAGAGAGAGCAAGGGACGATGGAAACAGAGAGAAAACAGAGAGAACGAGGGGAGATGGAAATAGAGAGAAAAGAAAGAGCGAGGGGAGATGGAAAAAGAGAGAAAAGAAAGAGCGAGGGGAGATGGAAACAGAGAGAAAAGAGAGAGAGAGGGGAGATGGAAACAGAGAGAAAAGAGAGAGAGAGAGGGGAGATGGAAACAGAAAAGAGAGAGAGAGAGGGGAGATGGAAACAGAGAGAAAAGAGAGAGCGTGGGGAGATGGAAACAGAGAGAAAAGAGAGAGCGAGGGGAGATGGAAACAAAGAGAAAAGAGAGAACGAAGGGGGCGTAGAAAGAAAGAAACAGAGAGAAAAGTGAGAGCGAAGGGAGATGGAAACAGAGAGAAAAGAGAGACCGAGGGGAGATGGAAACAAAGAGAAAAGAGAGAGAACGGAGGGCATAGAAAGAATGAAACAGAGAGAAAAGTGAGAGGGGAGATGAAACAGAGAGAAAAGAGAGAAAAGGGGGGAGAGAGAATGAAAAAGAGAGAAAAAGAGATGAGGGGAGATGGAAAGAGAGAAAAGAGAGAAAAGAAGGGGGGCGTGGAATGAAACAGAGAGAAAAGGAGAGCAGGGAGATGAAAAGAGAGAAAGAGAGAACGAGGGGAGAAAGAATGAAACAGAGAGAAAAGAGAGAACGAACATGGGAGAGTAAAGAAAGGGGAGATGGAAACAGAGAGAAAAGTGAGAGCGAGGGGAGATGGAAACAGAGAGAAAAGAGAGAGCGAAGGGGGGATAGAAAGAATGAAACAGAGAGAAAAGTGAGAGCGAGGGGAGATGGAAACAGAGAGAAAAGAGAGAGCGAGGGGAGATAGAAACAGAGAGGAATGAAACAGGAGATGGAAAAGAGAAAAAGAGAGCGAGGGGAGATGGAAATAGAGAGAAGAGAGCGGGAGAGATGGAAACAGAGAGAAAAGAGAGAGCGAAGGGGGGGCATAGAAAGAATGAAAAGAGAGAAAAGAGAGAGCGAGGGAGATGGAAAGAGAGAAAAAGAGAGAAAGAAGGGGGGGCGTAGAAAGAATGAAACAGAGAGAAAAGTGAGAGCGAGGGGAGATGGAAAGAGAGAAAAGAGAAAGAAGGAGGGCGTAGAAAGAATGAAACAGAGAGAAAAGTGAGAGCGAAGGGAGATGGAAAGAGAGAGAAAAGAGAGAACGAAGGGGGCGTAGAAATAATGAAACGGAGAGAAAAGAGAGAGCGAGGGTAGATGGAAACAGAGAAAAAAGTGAGAGCGAGGGGTGATGGAAACAGAAAGAAAAGAGAGAACGAAGTGGGGATAGAAAAAATGAAACAGAGAGAAAAGAGAGAGCGAGGGGACATGGAAAAAGAGTGAAAAGTGAGAGCGAGGGGAGATGGAAACAGAGAGAAAAGTGAGAGCGAGGGGGATGGAAACAGAGAGAAAAGATAGAGCGAGGGGAGATAGAAACAGAGAGGAAAGAGAGAGCGAGGTGAGATGGAAACAGAGAGAAAAGAGAGAGCGAGGGGAGATGGAAATAGAGAGAAAAGAGAGCGCGGGAGATGGAAACAGAGAGAAAAGAGAGAGCGAAGGGGGGCATAGAAAAAGAATGAAACAGAGAGAAAAAGATAGAGCGAGGGAGATGGAAACAGAGAGAAAAGTGAGGTCGAGGGAGATGAAACGAGGGAGATGGAAAGAAGAAACAGAGAGAAAAAGAACGAAGGGGGACATAGAAAAGAGAGAAACAGAGAGAAACAGAGAGAGAGAGGGGGGGATAGAAACAGAGGAAAAGAGAGAGCGAAAAGGGAGAAAGAATGAAACAGAAAAGAGAGAAAAGGGGGCATAGAAAGAATGAAACAGAGAGGGAGATGGAAACAGAGAGAAAATATAGAGCGAGGGGAGAAGAAACAGAGAGGAAAGAAAGAATGAAACAGAAAAAAAGAAAAAGAGAACGAAGGGGAGATGGAACAGAGGAAAAGAGAGAGCATAAAAATGAAACAGAAAGAATGGGACAGAGAGAAAAGAGAGGAAGAGAGAAATGGAAACAGAGAGAAAAGAGAGGGGAGATGGGGGATGGGGAAAAAGAGAGAAAAAGAGAGAAGCGAGGGAAACAGATAGAAACAGAGAGATGGAAACAGAGAGAAAAAGAGAGAACGAGGGGGGATAGAAAGAATGAAACAGAGAAAAAGAGAGAGCGAGGGAGATGGAAACAGAGAGAAAAGTGAGAGCGAGGGGAGATGGAAACAGAGAGAAAAGAGAGAACGAAGGGGGGCGTAGAAAGAATGAAACAGAGAGAAAAGAGAGAGTGCGGGGAGATGGAAACAGAGAGAAAAGAGAGAGCGAAGGGGGGGCATAGAAAGAATGAAACAGAGAGAAAAGATAGAGCGAGGGGAGATGGAAACAGAGAGAAAAGTGAGGTCGAGGGGAGATGGAAACAGAGAGAAAAGAGAGAACGAAGGGGGGCATAGAAAGAATGAAACAGAGAGAAAAGTGAGAGCGAGGGGAGATGGAAACAGAGAGAAAAGAGAGAGCAAAGGGGGACATAGAAAGAATGAAACAGAGAGAAAAGAGAGAGCGGGGTGAGATGGGATCAGGGAGAAAAGAGAGAGTAAGGGGAGATGGAAACAGAGAGAGAGAGAGAGAGGGGAGATAGAAACAGAGAGAAAAGAGAGAGCGAAGTGGGGATAGAAAGAATGAAACAGAAAAGAGAGAACGAAGGGGGGCATAGAAAGAATGAAACAGAGAGAAAAGAGAGAGCGAGGGGAGATGGAAACAGAGAGAAAAGAGACAGCGAAGGGGCATTGAATGAATGAAACTGAGAAAAGAGAGAGCGAGGGGAGATGGAAACAGAGAGAAAAGAGAGAGCGAGTGGAGATGGAAAAAGAGAGAAAAGAGAGAGCAAGGGTTGATGGTAAGAGAGAAAAGAGAGAGCTAAGGGGGATAGAAAGAATGAAACAGAGAGAAAAGAGAGAGTGAAGGGAGATAGAAACAGAGAGAAAAGAGTGAGTAAAGGGAGATGGAAACAGAGAGAAAAGAGAGAGAGAAGGTGTCATAGAAAGAATGAAACAGAGAGAAAAGAGAGAGCGGGGGAGATGGAAACAGAGTGAAAAGTGTGAGCGAGGGGAGATGGAAACAGAGAGAAAAGAGAGAGCGACGGGAGAAGGAAACGGAAAAAAAGAGAGAGTGAGGGGTGATGGAAACAGAGAGAAATGAGAGAACGAGTGGGGGATAGAAAGAATGAATCAGAAAAGAGAGAGCGAGGTGGAGAGAGAAAGAATGAAATCGAGAGAAAAAAGAGAGCGAGTTGGAGATGGGAAGAATGAAATAGAAAAGAGAGAACTAACGGGAGATAAAAAGAGTGAAATAGAGAGAAACGTTTATTGAAACAGACAAATTAATAAAGATGATGGACAGAGAAAAAAAAAGAAGACTAAAACCGTGAGTAGCAGTTTCCGAAAGAAAGAAAGAAAGAAAGAAAGAAAGAAAGAAAGAAAGAAAGAAAGAAAAGGAGAAAGAAAAATTGAAAGTATGTTAGCAATAAATAAAGATGATGAATAGTGAGAAAGAACAAGACGTAAGCAAAGAGTAAAAGTGCAGTGAGGGCGAAATAATAACTCTTTTCATTCACTCCATTCAAATTCGGGGAACTGAGGAAGAAGAAAAGGAATTCACGAGCCTATGTGAAGTTTTTGTCTTGGTCAATGTATTCACAAAAATTGACCGGTGAGTTGAGAAGAAGGAGGAAAGGAATTCGTGAGCCTATGTGGAATTGTTTTGTGACCAATGAAAACATTTACTTCACATAAATTAGCCAAGAAGAAGAAGGAAATAAATCTGTGAGCCTACGCGAAATTCATTTTGATATAATATGAGGAAAAAAAATAAATGAATAAACAAAAGTGTCTGAAGTCAAGTGAAAGGTTTTTTTCTTCTCATCTCGTGATCAGCGTTAAAGTTCTTGCCAGTGTAAAATTACTCGCCAATTATATTACCGACATCTAACCAGCATGCGGCACTTCAAAGAATTTTATCTCAACAATTAAAGAAAGTTGTGGCTGGGCATTACGTCATTTTTCTCTACCACCGTTCAACCGGTAGCTGAGCATTACGTCATTTTTCTCTACCACCGTTCAACCGGTAGCTGAGCATTAAGTCATTTTTCTCTACTACCGTTTAACCGGTGACTGGTCATTACGTAATTTTTCTCTACCACCGTTCAACCGGTGGCTGGGCATTACGTCATTTTTCTCTACCACCGGTAAATCGGTGGTCAGGTTAAGCACTGCAGATCACGAAAAGTTTTCGTTTTTTATTAATTTTTATAAAAGTTAATCAGGTATCCAGTTTTTTCTTGTTTTTTTTTTTTATCAAAATTCATTGTAAATTCACCCCCTTACGGAAGACAAAACAAAATATGTTCAGACCATGTGATTTCATAAAATTTAAAAGTAAAAAATATTTTTCAAGTTTTATTTTCATATTAAGTTCCTGAACAATTTTAACCTTTCCGCCTGAACTCCTGAGTCAAAATTCGCAAATAATTGGTATGCAATGTTTCACAGTATATATAGAAATAGTTACAAGTGTTTCCACACCATTCAACCGGTGACTGGACAGGGAGTCATTTACTTTAAAGCAGTGGTCAAAGGCTTAAGAATGAAAAACAAAGAATAAGTAAATAAATAAAAAGAAACAAACGTATAATTGAAAAAGACAAGATCGAGTAAGGATCAATCAGAGGAAACTCTTTGTGAAAAGAAAGAAAGAAAGAAAGAAAGAAAAGAAAAGAAATAAAGAAAGAAAGAAAGAAAGAAAGAAAGAAAAGAAAGAAAGAAATAAAGAAATAAAGAAAGAAAGGAAGAAAAGAAAAAAGAAAGAAATAAAGAGAGAAAAGGAAGAAAGAAAGGGAGAACGAAAGAAAGAAAGAAAAGAAAGAACGAAAGAAAGAAAAGAAAGAACGAAAGAAAGAAAGAAAGAAAAGAACGAAAGGAAGAAAGAAAGAAAAGTAAGAAAGAAAGAAAGAAAGAAAGAAAGAAAAGAAAAAAAAAAAAGAAAAAGAAAAAAGAAAAAAGAAAAAGAAAAGAAAGAAAAGAAAGAACGAAAGAAAGAAAGAAAGAAAAGAAAGAAAGAAAAGAACGAAATAAATAAATAAATAAATAAAGAAAGAAAGAAAGAAAAGAAATAAAAAAAAGAACGAAAGAAAGAAAAGAAAATGAAATAGGTTTTAATACCAGCAGTACTTCTTTGAAAAAATTATTACCAGCAGTATATATTTGAAAAAGAAGGAATTACATTGTTTTTGAAAAAAAATATTACCATCAATAAAAATATTTTAGTCATTAAATAATCTATTAAAGTTGATATACCGTAAAATAAAACAAAGCAAACCAATCTAACAGGTCGGAAGTTAATATTGAATCTAAAACCTCATCATTTATAGTCCTCTCCTTTATCGCTTGAACCAAACTTGCAACTCCTATGTGAATATATGTACGTTTGTTATGCTTTTGTTGATAGAATTTTATTTTATTTTTTTCTATTCACTTTGTAATTTTTACTCTTTTGACTGTTTTTATTACGCTTCAGTTTCTTTCATGCCATCTGCATCACTCGTTTGGATTCCATGTCCGATATGACGCTTAAACAATTTACGATTCAGTCGGTCACAAAACGCAAAGTAAAGGGAATGGCGGAGCTGAAGTTTTGCTTTGGGGACGGAGATTGGATAAAAAGAACCAAGTAAAAAAGAAAACCCTTCTCTCTTGCTGTTATTTTTCCCAGTGACTTGTGACGCTCATATCTAATTTCGCTACCTTTCCTTTTAAGTCTTTTAAGGGGCGTGTAATGCTCCGCCGCCATCTTGGCCTGGGATAATGTCGGCTGCGGAAGACTAATGCTAATTTATAGAAATTTTATTTAATTTCCTGGTTTTTATTAATAATACAAATAATAATAATGATAATGCTAATAATAATGGAGACGAAAAGACGAAAAAAAAAAAAAAGAACAAGAAGATAGTATAAAAAAGTTAAAATAAAACGAGAATGAAAGAGAAAAATGATTAAGGAAGACAGAGAAGTAGAAAAAAAAGAAATAACAGGAGGAGAAGGAGGAGGAAAAACGAAAGATGTTAGTTTAGAGGCAGAAAAAGAAAAAAGAAAAAGAAAGGCGAACTATGGAAAAGAAGACGAAGAAGAAAAAGATAATTATCACTTTACCGCAGTGGCTTATTCCATCAGTGTCACTTGTATTAATTTCATCATTTCTTTTTCATCCATTGTGCATTTCTATAGCAAATTTATTTAAAAGCATTTCTAGAGTACAGTTGTTTACAATGCATTTCTATAGTTACCGTATTAACGATACATTTACAATTGATGTATAATAACCACCTATCACACTGCATGTCCGTCTCTGGATTTTAAAATAAAATAATGTCAACACATTTATATTATTCATAAAACAGCTCTAACCTGTTTAGTAACGCTTGCATTAGTTGCTTACTACTGATAATTGGTTTCTTCACGAATGCATTTACCTGTCAATGACATTGATCGGAGTCGGGATCATAGTGTCCTTGTAAACTCCATGATTCTTTCGCTAGTTGTTTAGTAAGTGCATCGCCAGGCCAACATATATATATATATATTTTTAATTTTGTGTTTTTCCTTCTCCTAGACTGGTTGTCAACATGTCAAATTTCTACAAAACCAAAACATTAAGCTAAAATCTCGTCAGGTTTGTAAATTGCCTTGTTTGACCGAGACATTCATATTGATGTCATGCAAAGCAACCAAACTCGCTCAGAAATATTCTAAAATGTCATCTGTATACAACCGCATTCGCAGATCAATGGGTAAAAAATGTCTGCGAGCGAATGAAACCTGTAGATCCTATCGAGGACCAACCTTCTTCGAGCCTTGTGGGCTATCGCTACACAATCATAACCACAAAGAACTGTACCAAAGAGCAGAAACTCCATCACTTGAGTACTTTGGAACGCACATGTAACTTGAAGGGAAAATAATGACATATTCAAGATGTTGAAGTTCCCCACTACTTCAAACAAAAGGTTAGGAAGGAAACCTTCATTAATACTGGAAAGAGTGATAACAGTTACTGGTCTTGAGAAGAGAAAATAATGAAATAATCAAGATTTTGACATTCCACACTACTTCAAACAAAAGGTTAAGAAGAAAACCTCCATAAATAATGGAAAGAGTGATAACAGCTACTGGGCTTGAGAATAGAAAATAATGACATAATCAAGATGCTGATGTTCCACACTACTTCAACCATAAGGTTAGGAAAGAAACCTCCATCAATGCTGGAAACATTTATTGGACCTGAGGAATCTATTTTTTTTATAAACGTTAAGCGAATGTAGAGTTGGCCGTTCGGTTAATGAATGCTGAATGTTTCCTTATAAGGAAACGGCTAATATTACCAATATTACCATTACCATTTTGTCAGCAATGCCTATCAATTAATCCTCATATTAAAGGTTCAACCTTCTTCTTGCGATAATATCAAGATTTTGTCTCTCCCCTCGTAGGTAGGACGTTTATATAACTTCCTTCTATCTAGTTTGTTTTTGTTTTTGCGTCTGTATATGCTATCTTCCGCTGGGGCCATTTTATTGTTTCATGTAGGTGCGCACATTAACAATGATCATCCTTTTAAGCACTTGGTGCCTTTAGCAGCCCCTTCTGGAGACCCCTAGGTCTTTTGACATTCCGATGTGACACCGAGTACAAAACTTACTTTGCTATCTCATATGGTGAACCCAGTACATATTGTAGTTTCCACAGATCAATTCTTCTTAGATCAAGTTTCCTGATGGGCATTAAATCGATTGGTATTTCTCTATACTACATACACTGGCCACTCGTATTCGAGGATACCCGTCTACTAGGGTAGCTAGCCAATCCCTATAGCAGACGCTTGCTCAGGCACATTTGTGTTTGTTCAACGCCAATAGAGTCCACCTGTAGTTTATACTGGAACTATGCTGAGCAGATTTAGTTACAGTTTCTCGGAAAGAGCGTGTTATCTAGCATGATCAACAATATGAACAAGGCAGCATGCTTAAGCACTCGGCCACGATGACTTGTGACTTCGTGTTAGCACAGCTATCGACAGACCCATAGAGTTCCGTCTACCCAATTTTACTCACAACCCGTGGTATGTTTTTCAGTCATTTTCCAAAGGTGCCACATGTTGGGATCGACCCATCCAGTCCGATAACTTCAGGAAGTCTCCTTCCTGACAAATCGATTATGTTGAGATTCGAACTCGGGTCTCATGGTCAGAATGCGAACGTTCTAACCACTCGGTCAACTACATACAATATATGTAAAATAATGGAACGTTCTTGCTAAGACGATAAACTACTTCCGACAGAAAGGCCTCTGCTCAGGGGGTTTTGAGGAGCATGGAACCACCTCCTAATTGCTGGTGTTCCCAAGTCCACTCTGACCCGGGGTAGTAGCACTTGTCAGGGTCCCAAATATGGGTAAAGAGTTAACCTCCAAACTGAGTTCAAAATACAGTGAAAGTGTAAAAATAGATTTTAATACCAGCAATAAATGTTTTGAAGGAAAAAATTATTACCCAGTAATACATTTTTGAAAAAAAATATTACCAGCAATAAAAATCTTGTCGGCATTAAATAACCCATTGAGGTGTTGATATACCATAAAACAAACAAAATAATGGACCAACTAAATGTAAAGCCGAGTCAGTTTATCTTACAAACCCCTAACAGTGTGTTCTCTTTGTAAGTGCTTACGACCAAGATTGTCTGAATCCCACAAGTAAATAAGCGATTATCAAAGTAGCGTAATGAAGTCCGTTATTTGAATATCGATAACAATGAACTCACATAAACATCCATGTTGGAAACCTGAGAATCACCTTTGTTTTTACTGCTAGTAGACATCTTTGCCAAAAAAACAGTCTTGATCTTCCAACTCCACTTTTAAAAATTCCGTTCTTGGAATAACGTGGGTGCAATCATGGCGTAGATTTATTTTCAGACAAGGAAAATAAAACCGTTTCGACTCTTCCCAGCCTCTTAAATAGTTCAAGTTGCGAGGAACCAACGCTGAACGAAACCTTCTACTTTGCATTCAAGAGAGTCAGCGTGTCGTCTGAAGTTACAAAATGGCAGATAAAATTAGCAGAAACATCCCAGCAACGAGTTATAAATTCTTGTGAAATTCGAGGCTTGCTCAATTCTTTCTCCCGTGCCAGCAATCCGCAGCGAAATGTGCGGACATGTTGCACATCTCAAGCGTATCAGAACAAACGTGAGCACACGAATACAAAGTAAACGCTCAGAAGGTTTTTTGCATCGAATAGTCACACGTCTGTTCGTTCTTACTTGATACGGTAAATTTAGTCTACTTAAGTAGTATTGCTTGTGATTTGTAGATGCTCAGATCCCAGGTATCCGTGATAAATCTTCGATAAAGACATTCCTCGAGTTACTTGCATTCTTGAAGTTTGGGATAAGAATGACTAATTCTCTCTTTATAGAATTCTTTAAGATGTATGTCTTGCAAAGCGACCTGTGATAAAAGTCGAATTTATCAAATTTCAACGCTTGTCTTTCATTTAGAGGATCTTAGAAAAAAAATAAAACCAAGTCGCGTTCGCGAGTGTGATAATCCCGTATTTGTACGTGAGGTCGGCTAAAAGGCATAACTTGCTGATTTTGAAAGCAAATGCGTCTTCTTCATTTGACGCAACAATATTTGCTTATTCATATTTTTTTCATGTTTACTTGTTTCGAGAATAAAATTTTTTCTGTACAATATGAAAAACTTCCCACTCTTTTTTTTTTTTTAAATTAAAAATTAAATCGTAAGTCTAATGGTGAAAATTAAACTCGTCATTAAAGAAGATATTCAACATTTATTGATCAAACAGTTTTGCTATCGGTTGAAGTTTAAAAAATATATTTTTCTTCAATATCTGTCTATATTTCTGAGATTAGGTATTATGTACATATTTACATTATTCGGACTATTGTCCTCATCTTTTTCGACATATTTATTACAACGTTTCGGACGTTGTACGCTCCGGCCTTCTTCATTGGAATGTTGAACTGAACCCTTTATTTCGCTCACTGGGGTAGACTGTTCTAGTTCCACGTGTCAGTTATCAGTTATCTACTGTTAAGTTTCCCTCTGAAAGTTCTCCACTGCCTTAATCGGGTATTGAACTCACACTCTTTGGGTCCTGTCACTGGACCTATCCAACGCCTTTATCCACTGTGCCATGTATCCTTGAGAACAACGAGTTTTTCAGAAAATTAGAATTTTTAAGTCCATTAACTTTTATAGATCTTTCTGATATTGATAGGGGATTTCTTCGCCACTCTTCGTCATTGGGACAATCGAATGGTACCAAGATCATTTATAATTTTGGATTCTCATGTATCCTCAAAATTTGGATTCGTCACCGTTGAAAGCAGAGTGAATTTATGGGCCCGTATTCTGTAATGTAATTTTGGCCATAGTTAAATGTAACTGGCGAGAATGCCCAACAAACCGAATTGACAAAGTTTGCAATAAACAAAAACAAAAGAAAGAAAAGAAGAGAACAGGGAAAATATTAAGCAAGCAAAGAATATATGCAAAACAAAGCAACATCAATAAGGCAATGCAACAGTAATACGGCAAAAAGTTCACAAAGTAAGAAGTGTGTTAACACGCAAAAGGGGATACAGACAAGCGATAGCAGCGTTCTGACTTCAAGACAAGTAAGAACAGAGCTATGTCGGATGATACCAACATAATCTTATTGACCTAAAGAAATCTCAATATATGTTTTGTCTATAAATTTGGTGAGAT